ACTTCCATAGAGTCCTCTGTTCTCCTATTCTTTCCAATACCTCTTCATTTCTAACCTTTTCTACCCACGATATCCTCATCATCCGCCTATAACACCACATTTCGAACGCTTGTAACCTTTTCTTTTCCGCCGCTCCCACTGTCCATGTTTCGCATCCGTACAACGCCGTGCTCCAAAAATACACTTTTAACAACCTTTTTCGAATTTCTAAATTAACCGTTCGCGAGCATAGAAGTGACTTCTTTTTATTAAAGGCGACACGACCCTGCGCTATCTTCTGCTTTATATCCCTACTACCCCTGAAAATTCATTAAGGATTCGAAATTATGAATTATTTCCTTCGCTTTGAAACTTTTCGCTTGGACACTCGAGGCACCATGCATAAAATTGTTTAGGGGTATATTGTCATAAAAAAGAAGTTTGAAGGAAATATTCCACTTCTAAAGGTGGAAAATTAGATGATAATTCCCGTTTTAGTTTAAGGTTCCATATATGTAATGTTTTAAATGGGTTTTTATTCATTACGTACAGATGATATTTAAATTATGAAAAGAAATATTCGAAATAAATCATATCTCGGGACGGGGAGATGTTTGAAATATAAGATAGTAAGAAGGTCTCGTTGGTAGTTAGACGTACGTGTTCGTAATTACCGTTCTAGACAGTAAAAAATAGTCGCGTTTGACTCGATTTACTCTCGCGCCCTATTCATTTTCGCCGGAATAAATCACTTCACATTCAATTAAGTAACAAGTCTTCGGCAATTCGATTCCGAGAAAACAGGAAACCGTTCGAGTAGCGCGTCCGCCGCGGCGCGTCGCGTCGCGTTTTCGTCCTCACGGAGCAGCGTGAGTGTTTTTTTTGCTCTTCCAGCAATTTTTTCTTATTATTTATTCGAAAAGAGAGACGCAAACGTGTACATATGTCCGTACGTAGTGTACGCACAAATAGACGTGTCACCGTGACCCAAGAAGTACTCCCGTATACACGCACGGATAGACGTTTGTGCGTGTATGTGTAAGTCGTCCGTCCCATGCAAAATTAGCAGCTGTCAGAGAGGCCCGCGTCTAAATTAAAAACACATAGATCACGCTAATTTTAAAGGCTCTTTCATCTGGTGGCGGCTTGTCGGTCGGTTGCCAGCTTTTAATGCAACGGATTAACGCCGTGACTCCTTCTGTCAACATGCGTGTACGTATAGGCACTACTTAGGGTATTTTTTACGTTTTTTGCGTTACTTTATCTGTAGAGTACTTTTATCATTAAAAACAATAACATTTTACCATTTTACATCATCATCATAAGTTATTCCTAAGACCGAAAAAACTAGTCAACTTCGTATTTTAACTCAATCTTCAAAAACCATATCAATCCACTTCTCTAACTAATTACGAACAATCTAATATATGTAGATCTACCTCTACCCCTCTTAACCCCTGCTTCTGCTTCGAATAGTCTCCTGTCTGACAAGGGATGTATCTCACCTACAAATTTCTTTAAAAGAATTTTTATCAATTTTTTTATAAAAAATAGAAAATAGTTGCAAATGGCAAATTCGAACATTAAAAAAAAAAATTAATAGATCGATTTATTAAATTTTCTATTAATAACAAATAAAGAGAGGGAATTTTCTTCATTATTTAATTTTTGTTTTTATTTATTGTGAGACCAAAATATAAACATCGCCTCGCATCTGCGACATTTTCTGAAATACATCCTGTGAGTACTTTCTGTTATAAAACTGATGTGTTTGTGGGGTGGAAAAGAATAATCTTCTCCCCACGTGGCCGGATTTAGAATAATATAGATGGCGCCTAATTCGAGGAGACAGGCTTCATTTCGAGCTTTCGAGAGCACAAATCCCCAAGTATATAACATGTTTGTATGTTACGGTTCAGTTTATTAAGGAGAAATAGAGAAACGCATTTATTCCAGCACATTAACTAAGTACACACGTACAGTCATATACTCACATAGATATATGCAAGTCTAAACTGTAACTAAATTAGAGTTAGCAGCTGCGCCTTTATTCTTTTGATTTTGGACAAAAGTTTTACTTTGAGAAGAAATCATTTTTTCGATTTATTATTTACCCACTACAAACTACGTCGAATTAATGAGGGAAAAATTGTTGCTGTTGTCACAGCCCCGCCGGGAATCGAACCCGCGACCTTTGGCTTTACGCACCAATGTTCTGTGTTTGGTGTGTAAAGCCAAAAGTCGCGGGTTCGATTCCCGGCGGGGTGTGACAACAGCAACAATTTTTCCCTCATTAATTCGACGTAGTTTGTAGTGGGTAAATAAAAAATTGAAAAAATTATTTCAAATTAATATTGCATATTAATCCAGTATTAAATAACTAACAATGTCATAGGATTTGATATATTTGAGAAGAATCTAAAAGATATAATACTTTCTCATTTGGAAATCACAGTTTCTAACTGAGAATGAGTTGTTGAGTGTCGAAACGCATTTCAGATTGCTAAATGTTTTTGTGGAATGTTGGGATTTATTGTTTTTTTTTTTGTTGTTTCAATTCCATAATAGTTAGAGTTTCTAACGTATTTCACCTGTCTTGTTTTTTTAAAATAGTGTTTTAAAAATTCATTTCACAGTAATTAAAGCAGTAATGTCTAAAAAATTTTAATTTGGAAATTATGTAAAGTTTTAATAATTATTTTAAACATTTCACCGTGCTTATGATGTATTAACTTTTAACTGTCATATATTCGTCAACCATAAATCTTACCATTCATTCAGGTCGAACATATAACGATCTCAACCAGTATCCGGTATTTCCTTGGGTACTGACCAACTACGAAAGCAAAGAATTAGATTTAAGTCAGCCGAGTAACTACAGAGATTTGTCGAAACCCATTGGAGCTTTGAATCCTAGCAGGAGAGCCTATTTCGAAGACAGATACTCCAGTTGGGAACATGAAAGCATCCCCCCTTTCCATTACGGCACCCATTACTCTACCGCTGCGTTCGTACTAAATTGGCTTATTCGCGTTGTAAGTACTTTTTTAGTTATACATTTAGTCATTCGTTCTATTTCTCTTTCTTTTTTAAGGAGCCATGGACAAGTATGTTCTTAGCACTGCAAGGGGGTAAGTTCGACCATCCGAATCGTCTTTTCTCTTCAATGGCCGTTTCGTGGAAAAATTGCCAAAGGGACACATCCGATGTTAAAGAACTTATTCCCGAGTTCTTTTTCTTGCCTGAAATGTTCGTTAATTTCAATCGATATCGTCTGGGTGTCCAAGAAGATGGAACGTCGGTGAACGATGTAGAACTACCCCCGTGGGCTAGTTCTCCGGAAGAGTTTGTCCGAATTAATCGAATGGTAATGTATCACAAATGTTATATGCATATTAAGTGGCTAAACTAAAATTTGTTCATTTTAAAAGGCACTGGAATCCGAATTCGTATCTTGTCAACTTCACCAATGGATCGATTTAATATTCGGTTATAAACAACGAGGTCCTGAAGCGATACGTGCAACTAATGTATTTTACTACCTTACCTACGAGGGAAGTGTTGACATGGAATCAGTTACTGATAATGTTATGAAAGAAGCCATTGAGAACCAAATCAAGAATTTTGGACAAACTCCTTCTCAATTGCTTATGGAACCGCATCCTCCTCGAAGTTCTGCTATGCATTTGGTAAAAAAAAAATGAAGTTTTATCCTGTGTATTTTCGTTTTAATATGTTATTATTTTTCAGTCTCCCATGATGTTTTC